TCTCCGTTTGTGCTTTAGGGTCCTTTTTGAGAAATATGATTTCACCATTTATTCCAGACTGACTAGATTTTCTCATCTGGAAAATGCAAAAAGACAAATAATCTGCCCATCACTGTCTTAACAACGGTCCAGATGCTTCATGTATACCGGATAAAGCAGCGCTAAGGAGTCTAACACTTTACTATATTGCTCTCAAATTGGTTTCACTGAGTCTTGAGCCAAAAACTTCAGTAACTTCAGTTGAGCCTTCTGCTGACCAGAAACGGTAATTAAAGAGGCAATATGTAAGAATGCTACAGTGAAGTAGGGTTGTCACGATACTAAAATTTCAAACTCCAGGGTCCGAAATTAAATTTTTTACTCACCGGCCAAGTTGGCCGGTAGATGATGAAAATCTACCGGCCAAGCACATTTTTTACCGGCCAAAATTCTAAATGATTTAGATCTACCTAAAGCATGTAATTCTATATTATGTTGATTCCAAACAGAGTGACAAAATAATTAAAACATCAATTAATAAGGAAAACAACTCTTTTGTCATTTTTACTATTTATTTATTTTTAGAGATGTTTTTATGAACTCTTTCATTGAAATCTAGTCAGACTCCTTGTTTTCTCTGTCCATGAAGTCTGGCCTCCTGCTTCTGACACCGTCTTTGTGCCAAAGCATTACAGCCACATTTGGGTCCTAGTCCTTGATCTCTGGAGAACACAGCTGCACCATGAGAATATCTGAAAGTGTGTCAGGGCTAGGGTTGTCACGGTAACCGGTGTAGCGGTAAACCCCGGTAAAAAAGTTGACAATAAATAATAACAGTCTTGTTTTAAAAAAAAAATATATATATATATATATATATATATATATATTATCTCTGTGGATTACCGTGGCTGCGGTGTAGGCGCGGTGACCCTTACCAGCCACCGTATCATCTGCTAGAAGTTGCAGGCGACACATGCGCACTTTGTTGTTTACGACCAAAACTTTCTTTAAGCTAAAGCTGAAATAATGGCCAAAGGAGGAGACGGCAGCACGTGGGACATTTATTATCCCTCAAAGAAGACAAAGTCGGAAGTATGGGCATTTTTTGGATATTTGAAGAATGCCGAGGGACAGTTGTCTGTGAAAGGCAGCGACGCTACGTGGCCATCATAATGTAGCCTGTCTCACGACTCCGTCATCTCCAGTTCGCCACTTTTCACAAAATCTTCTGGTTGCCACTGGTCCTGGTCGTTTTTCTTCCAGTTCGACGAGTTTTCTTTTGGAAGGCTGGCTGACTCCAGGTAAAAACCGCCACATTTCACCGCTAGTTTTAACACGAAGCTAACTGCTAACTTGATAAACTGATTGAATGGGATAGGTGGAAATGACGTTGGATGCGGCGTTCACGTTTCGCGTTGCATGCAGGCGGGAGGAGTATCAGAAATCCGTGGAAGATGACTGATAAACATAACTAATTTGGTGCAAGCATTTACTCGCCAGGTAGCAGGTAGAGCTCAAAATTTTACTCGCCAAATGGAGCAATTTACTCGCATTTGGCGAGTGGCGAGTGTTAATTTCGGACCCTGTCAAACTGGATTCGATACTGGGGGAAAAAAACTCGATACTCGATTTTGATGCTATTTAAAAACACCAATTTATTGAACAAGTTTATTCAAAAAATAACATTCCTCAATTTATATTGCAAAAATTAAATGTTAAGAATTAAGTGTGTAAAGTGCTTAAACCTTTCAAGTATCAGCATTTTTTAAAACGTGCATACAAAAACTGGCAAAAGTTAACACTTTAAATCATGAATTGTCTCACTATATATACACTATTTGCAGAGTGATGTTTTGCTGCTTAAACTCTGTTTAAGTAGCATTGTTGTCATAAGATGTAATGCCATATGTTTTGTTCTGTACTTTTGAACAACTCTGTTGGTCAATAAAGGGAGAAAACAAGTTTCTCCATGGTAGGACAAAGGTACATCTACCGGTAATCTTAATAAAAACAGATTGGCGCACGGCAGTGACGTCTTTAAAAGCGCCGGTTAGATTAGCCGCGGCTAGTCTGTTTATGTCTAGAAATCCCAGACTCGCTCCAAACGAACAGGAGAATCACGTTAATGATTCCTAACAAAACCTTTCGACATGAAGATGTTTTGGTGCAGATAGTGTCTTATTTCGAGGCTGCACCATGGGTGCCCGTCTGCACCCGTTATATGGATATACACTGACAGCGATTCGCCGATGGATCTAAATACCCCGGGGAATCCAAGTAGCACCAAAGTTGTCAGCGTGAGTAAACAAACGTACTGCATGCTAGAAATTAAGTCTGGGTTGCAATAAACGGGAGTTTCCTTTAAGCACATAAGCGTGAATATACAACTACCTGTCGAACTTGGTATGCTAGCTTAGCTAATACTAATACGTGAGCTCAAATTTGTTGGTGCAATTAGACACATTCTTACTAGATTTAATAAATTTTAGACACCGGTTTCATTTAATCATGCAGTTTGGGGAGTCGATCTCTCAGATGCTTGGCCAAATTTGTTGTGCTGCTTGACTTCGTAGCGATCTCTTTGTAGCACTCCTTGCAAACGGGTCTGTCATGGTCTGTTGCTTTCCCCGACTCATCAGCCTTGTATCCAAAGTGTTTCCACACTGCACTTTTGCTCTTTGTGTTGTTGAATAAGTTGGGCTGTGAAGCGCCTCCTGAATTCACTGTTGCCATTGTGAACAAAACTTGGATCGGAGACAACTCGCGTGGGAAATTGCAATGTAGCCATGCGACGTCTTCTTCTTCTGTTTGTCTGGGAGGCGGAGGCTGCTTTACGGCGTCTGGCTGTCGTGTGTGTCGGTGTACTTGAAGAAGGCTGTGTATAATAGTCCATAATATCGATACCACAGGGATGGAATATCTAATTTAGATACCACTTTTAGCATCGATTTATATCTAGGTATCGATTTTTTTGACAACACTACAGTGAAGGGAAAAAATCACAACAGTTTAATGTCTCAATAATGTTAGAAGGAAGGTTACACTGAAGCTGATTTCCCTCTCAGCCTGCAGGGGGGTTGTAAGTTTTTCTCTGATTATAATCAGAAACAAACATTAAAATGTTTTTTTTTCGTGTTCCACACCTTTAAAAGTGTTACTTCATCAAGTCCTTCAGAGGTCACCTCCCTATCTGACCTCCACAACTACAGGAGCTGTGCAGGACTCAGCTCTGCTCTCTCAACATAAACATCTACCCCCCACCCCCCACCCCACCCCACCCCCCACCCCCCCACACACACAGTTTCAGCCTCTCACCCAGCTGTTACACAAGAGAGATCAGGAAGCAGGGTCAAGAGACACTGGTTCGTTTAAAACACTTAAACGTATAAAATAGACACTAAAAACGTTCTGTTTTAGGCTCACCGACTACTGATCACGCCGATTTTCCCTTCACTGCATGAAAATGATCAACTTGGAGCAGACCTGACAATCCTGAAACCTGCACCAACCCAAGTCAGGATTTTCTCCAACTCAACCAAAATAGGAGCAAGTTAAAACGGGAACACACAAAGTTTGCCTATAAATGGAGCATAAAAGGGAAAAAAGAGCAGAGACGTGATTCGTCTCACTCCACGTGTTCTGCTTCCTTAAAATAAACATTAAAAGAAATTAAAATTCCTTTGTGGAGCTGCAGGAAGAACAACCTTACAGATCCGTTCTCTTCCTGACAGTGACAGAGCAGCAACCTGAAAACCTCACGCTTCGACAGCGTCGTCATGACAGAAGGCCTGGGCCCCCGACACACAAAGGCCACGATCAATGGAGCTTTGGAAAAACTGATGGAAAACCACTAACGGGCCGATGAGAGGAGGGGGCCGGGCCAACTGCTGCTGCTCTCTGCCTCTCTTCTCCATATGCAAGTTAAAAAAAGTCGATACTGCTCTGACTTCCCAGAAACCACTTCCAGGGCGGGACTCTGAGCCGAACGCACAGCGGCACAAATCAAACACATCACTCTGGTTAAAGGCACGCTGGGGTACGAGCCGCTCACATCCCAAACGAGAAACAGCAGCATTAGTCAGTCTGAGACGTTACCATTTAAAAAGGAGAGCCACTTCCTGATTCGGTCGATTTGACAGGAGAACAAAACTGTTCCTCAGCTGTCTGACAACCGGACAGCAGAAACAGAACGAGGGTAGAATTCATCTGAAGTCCCGCGTTTATAACATGAAACTGTTTTCTTTAGTCTCTCTCATTAAGCAATGAAGTCAATTTGCCACAAAGCTGAGTCGGCATCAGAGAGCCTTTGGTCATTCAAAAGTGAGCCAGTCAGACTGTGGCGGTAACGTAGCAAAACTGTGCTTTTCACAAAATACTATGCAACGGCATTAAAGGGGGTGTGGGGGTGATCCTCGTGCATTCAAGAACTTCTGTTTAGCTTAAACAGAAGTTGCTTTCATTGAGATTGAAGTTGCTTTAGCAAGCTGCTTCTAAGCGTGTCTGTCCTCCACATTCCCCATGAACGGTCTGGTGATCCGAGCTCCAGCTCTAACGGAGAGAAGTCCCTGGAGCTCGGCATCGCTCCAGTTTTCCATCTCAGCTGATTCTGTTTACAAAAGCCAAACTGACTACTTTCAACATAGTTGCCGGCCGGAGCTCGGTGGACATTCCACATGAGATCAGGACACTACTCTTTGTTGCACCAAGGCGCAGTCTTCATTAACAAGTGGTAATACTACCACCAAGCATCGCCATGCCGCCACGGCGCTTTCAGAAGACGCATCGTGGAGACAGTCTTATGCTTATTTACCAGCACGGTGTGACTTTAGAAAACGGATGATAAGACGCATTAATTAATGCATTGCAAATTTCCTTAACATACACTAGATGCTTATACACAGTCCAAGAATGCACTGCATCCAAAATATTAAATAAAAAAACAATCTGTTGTGCTTCATGAGTTAGTGAACTACTTGTTCTGATCGAGGTGGTGAAACAAAGAACAACAGAGACCAACTTACCTTCTGTAGGCTGTTGGGGTTCAGCTGCGTCTTGTCTATGATCTTGATGGCAACCTGTGGAATAAAAGCAACTTAAATGCCGTCATCTGTGTTTCTGTAGAGGAGCCCAGTGCAGGCGACAGTTCGGCTACAGCTTGTTGTCCTTCAAAACGATGATTTTACATCATCACTCCGTTTAAAAACACTGTCAGAAACAACAGTTGCTGCTTGTGACCATCCTTGACTGATCAGTGTTTAATCGACACCACTATGAACACGATGCTTCAGGCGGGGTCCATAAACACCAGCTGCTGATGATCGTGTTTCGGCGTTTCTGACTTAGTTTGGAAACGGTGACTGTGAGGTCAGCGCTGTGGTGTTCTGACCCACTTTATGTGACTGGAGTGGAAATAAAAAAACTGCAGGATGATTAGACACTTTGCTCGTGTTAATCCCGACTAGGACTGGGCAATAAACACTCACTGGCCATTTTATTGGGTATACCTGTCCAACTGCTCGTTAACACAAATGCCTAATCAGCCAATCACATGGTGGCAACTCAGTGCATTTAGGCATGTTGACATGGTCAAGATGATCCGCTGCAGTTCAAACCGAGCTTCAGGATGGGGATGAAAGGTGATTTAAGTGACTTTGAACGTGGCATAGTTGTTGGTGACAGATAGGCTGGTCTGAGTATTTCAGAAATGGATGATCTTCTAGGATTGTCACGCACAACTAGGGATGTCCTGTTCTGATATCGATATCGGAAGTAATTTGTTATCATCCCAAAAGCACTGTATCAGATTATATCGGACTGCATGAAAAATCTCCGATATAAGCAGTCCGTTAAAGTTCACATTTTTGCAACCAACGGTTAAAAAGAATTGTACTTTTTTTCATACTGTTATTGGCTCTTGTTCTCCGACTGAGTAATATCACTTGATCAAACCTTTCATACATTCCACACTACGAAACAGGTAAAAGTATGTATGATTTATGCTGATATCGTATCAGATTGATATCGGTATCGGTCAATACTGAAGGCTGCGATATCTGTATCGTATTGAAAGTGAAAAAGTTGTATGGCACATCCCTATGCACAACCATGTCTAGGGTTTACAGAGAACGGTCTGAAAAAAGGAAAACATCCAGTTCTGTGGGTGAAAATGCCTCGTTGATGCCAGAGGTCAGAGGAGAATGGCCAGACTGATTTAAGGCTACAGTAACTCAAAGAGCATCTCTGAACACACAGCACGTTGAACCTTGAGGCAGATGGCCTACAGCAGCAGAAGACCTCACCGGGTGCCACTCCTGTCAGCTAAGAACAGGAAACCGAGGCTACAATTCACACAGACTCACCACAATTATACAATAGAAGATTGGAAAAATGTTGCCTGCTCTGATGAGTCTCAATTTCTGCAGCGACATTCAGATGGTAGGGTTTGAACAACAAGAAAGCATGGATCCATCCTGCCTTGTATCCACGGTTCAGGCTGCTGGTGGTGGAGGTGTAATGGTGTGGGGGACATTTTCTTGGCACATTTTCGGCCCCTTAGTACTAACTGATCGTCGTTGCAACACCACAACCCACCTGAGTAGTGTTGAATACCATGTCCATCCCTTCATGACCACAGTGTTCCCATCTTCTGATGGCTACTTCCAGCAGGATAATGCACCATGTCATAAAGCTCCAATCATCCCAGACTGGTTTCTTGAACATGACAGTGAGTTCACTGTACTCAGACGGCCTCCGCAGTCACCAGATCTTGATCCAACAGAGCAGCTTTGGGATGTTGTGGAACGGGAGATTCACATCGTGGATGTGCAGCCGACAAATCTGCAGCAACTGTGTGATGCCATCATGTCAACATGGACCAGTATCTCTGAGGAGTGTTTCCAGTACCTTGTTGAATCTATGCCACAAGGATTAAGGCAGTTCTGCAGGCAAAAGCGGGTCCAGCCCAGTACTAGCAAGGTGTACCCAATAAAGTGGCCAGATTTTTTACTAATGACTAAATAGCATGAGGGGGTCAGTAAACAGTGTAAGGTAACATGTTTGCTCCACAGAAACACAACTCAGCTGTAAAATGTTGGTGTTATTGGTCATTTTGCTCAGCATTATGGCTTTTTGTCAGAATCTGAACCAGGAAACGGCTGCAGGCAGTGAAACAGAAGGCAAAACTCTGGAGCAACCAGTGACCACAAGACGGTTAGCCGATGAAGTGATCGCACAGCTGGAGTCAGGCAACATTCAAGTCGATCGGAACGCTGACGGTAAACCCGACGTGGATGGATGGTGAACGTCTTCGGAACCAAACTTGGTACCGTTTAGCGATGTTCTAATCACTTTATTTGCTCACGATCCGATTCCGAGTAATTTGATTTTGAGTATTTGCTGATACAGAGTCCTGATCCGATACTTCAGCAAAGCTATAAAAAGAGAAGAAAAAGGAAAAACAAGTCCAAGTTTTTTTTATTATCATAATTATTTAGGTATTTCTTTCTTTCTGTATTTATGCAATTCCCCTTGTTTATCTGCCCAAAAACATCCCCTGTTTAGGAAGTACATTGATAAAAAAACAAGTTCATATTAAGAATGTAATTAAAAGTAGTGAGTTACTCATTTTTCAAGTTGTTTACGTCCTCATTATGCATCTGTGATGCACGTTCACGTGACAAGGGGGGCACACGGCGCCACGGCCAGCGGGCTAACGTTTATCTGCACAACAACAGTAGCTATCGGCACCACAGACATCATATTCACAACGTGGACTGAGCTGCCATCTTGGATGGGTCTCCAATCGCTCCCGGTGTGTTTATTTCTACTGAAGAAGATGTTTACTCAACTACGAAACACATTTTATTACGATTTTTTTAACAAAATCAGATATTATGGTAAAGCATGATAATTGTTTGAATGCTGTAAAGCAGATATCAGCAAATGATTCTAAAATTCACAGTTCAGCTAATTGTGAAAATTTTACTATTAAACTATTCTTACTCAAATGGCAGGTGTGCAAACATTTCAACTGTCTAGTTTTTAAACAATGTTCAAAGATTTCATTTTTCTGTTTGCTGTTTATTATTTTTTCGCCATTCTTCACCTACGTTATGAGCTTTATTACACTTTTTGGTGATTTTTGCTTCTAAATCTTTAAATACATTCAGCTCATTTTGACAGTTTAGCTTAGTTTCAGCTTCACTTCAGCTATTCAGCAGCTTCAGCAATCAGTTTCTGAATTTGGCATATGCTGCTCATTTCACAATTGAGCTAAATATAAAAATTAAACTGTTAAACTAGTCCTACTCAAATGACAAGTGTTTAGACATTTTTGCTGGCTAGATTTTTAAATTATGTTCAGATTTCAGTTTTCTGCTGTTTAGGATTGTTTTCTCCGTTCTTCATTAAATTTTTGTGCTTTATTCACTTTTGGGTGCTTTTTGCTTTTAAGTCTTTCAAAACATTCAGCTCATTTAGATAGTTTTGCTTAATTTCTGCTTCAGTTCAGCTATTAAGCTGATTCAGCTAACAGTTTAAGCTAACCAGCATTCAAACAGCATTTCTGCAAGAAATGCAGTTTATCTAGTTAAAATGTTGGGTTTGGAGAGTGAGATAAACACCCAATATGGGGGGCAATGCTGTTACGCTATCCAGGGTCCAATGGCGCATCGGGCCCGATTTCCCATCATGTGATTGGATCGGAGCATCCCTAGTTCAGTTTATTTACCTTTATTGTGCGTTTCATTTCTGTGCTCACTCATAGCAGCTGAGCAGAGCTATCTGCTTCAGGCTTCCCCCGTATATTTCAATAATCTACTGAAAAATAAAATGATGTGGTGCCATTTTTAAATCGCTGCATGTACATGTTGATATATCCATCTATACATCCATTTTGTTTCGCTTACCCGGGGTCGGGTTGGGGAGGCAGCAGCTTAAGCCAAAAAGAAGAAGAAAAGATCATTTCTATAACGCCTCTCAACATAAAAATCACAAGGCGCTTCACAAAAACAAAGAATGTAAAAATATAAAAAATCATTTAGAAAATGGTTACAAATATATTTAAAATGAACAAAAACAGACAATTGTGATTTAAAAAATGTTAAGAAAGAGAGAGAGTGAATAGGAAAGAGGGAAATCAGTGGATCCTGAGGAAGGTGGAATAGGTGGGGAGAGCAGAATAAAGAGAGAGTGGTGAAGAAGGTCACACAAAAGCCAGCTTGAACAAGTGAGTCTTCAGCTGCTTTTTAAAGGAGACCACTGAGTCCACTGATCTCAGGCTCAGGGGGAGAGAGGTCCAGAGTCTGGGGGCCACAGCAGCAAATGATCTGTCACCTTTGGTCTTTAGCCTGGTGCTGCACAACCAGTAGGCTTTGGTCACTGGACCTCAGGGACCTGCTGGGGGTGTAGGGACTGAGAAGATCACCAATGTAAGATGGTGCTTGTCCATGTAAGGCCCTATAGACCAGAACCAGGATCTTGAAATGAACCCTGAAGTTGACTGGCAGCCAGTGAAGCTGGAGGAGAAGCGGGGTGATGTGGGTGTGTTTGGAGGACTTGGTCAGAAGCCGAGCACAGGCATTCTGAACCACCTGTAGACGGTTCAGGGAGGTTCTGCTCAGACACGTGAAAAGAGAGTTACAGTAGTCTAAGCGTGAGGAGATGAAGGTGTGGAGAACTGTCTCAAGTTCAGAGCGGGACAGAATGGGACTCAGCTTAGCAATGTTCCTGAGATGGAAGAAGGAAGAGTGAACAAGAGAACTGACATGAGAATCCAGGGTGAGAGCTGGGTCAAAGGTCACGCCAAGATTCCTGACAGAAGGTTTGGTGTGAGAAGCAAGATGACCAAGAGAGTCTCTGACTTTGGGAACCAGCTTGTCTGGGGCACAGATGAGGATCTCAGTCTTATCTTCATTCAGCTGAAGAAAGCTCCCAGACATCCAGGTTTTGATAGAGTCTAAGCAGGTGTGTAACAGCTGCAGCTTAGACATCTCATGGGGCTTAAAGGAGATGTACAGTTGGATGTCATCTGCGTAAAGATGGTAGGAGAATCCTTTGAAGGAGCTCAGGATGTGCT